TTTGGTTTAAGCGGATTCTGCTGTCTATCAGAACAGATCTGACCTCTCTCCTGGACATCAGCACAGTGCAGGTTATTGCCAAGGTAAGACACATGGGTGAACTGTGTTGTTTACCTGGGGTTTTCAGGCAGTTGTTCTAAGAAATGACCTCATATCATCACCCAAAAATAATGCTGATTCTTCATGATTACTAACTGGAATATTAAAGCAGAATGATGGACTTTTTAACCCGCTGACTTATTTCCACTTATATTTTCCCTCTGTGCTGAATTTATTTTGGAAAAATGCCAGATTTGCACATACGCTTTTTTTTGTTGCTAATAACTTTTTAATTTGTCAAAATTTCTAATGAAGGTAAGAATAAAAGTTTTAGAATATTGAAAGTTCTTTATGAATATCTGAAGCAAAAAGTATTTTGTGAAGTTATTGTTGTAGTAGTGGTGTTGGAAATGACTGAATAAAAACTGCCGGTTCATTAGATCTCTAGATCTAGTCCAGATTCTAGATGCTTCGTAGGCCTACATATATTCCTCAAAGTGTTAGCTCTAGCATCAAAACCCTTTTAATCATCTTCCGATTCAAGGAAAATATGTGGAACATTTTCGTCTGAATCTGATGCGACACTATTTTCATGTTCGTCGCAGGTCGCAATTGCGAATTTTCCAACTTCACTGTCACTCAATTTCAACGTGAAACAAAAAACTCCCTGTGACAAGAAAAACGATGGGCGAAATCAATTCTGAGTAGCCTACCAGCTAGCAGCATAAAAATTAGTACCTCGTTCTTTTCGTACATCGCATTATACCATGCCAATGTCTATCGTGACCGCGATCAGCGCTTTACAGAAGTTCGGGCCGTCGTGACCGAGATCAGCGCTCTAAGGGTTAATTAATTTTTTATTGAATCTGGTTGTTTTAACCTCTCCCCTCCCCCCCATGGACTCAATTTAGATCATATAGGAGGGGGGCTTCCTATCTTGCCTGTCAGGACCAGCTAAGGCCGAGAGGGAAACATTCCAGCGGAAAAACTGAGATACTTGATAAGTATTTCCTCCTTTCTGGGGAATAGAACTTAGATCTCCTGCTTGGAGCAGTGAAGCACCTAACCACTGCACCACAGAGGCCAGTAATAATAGACTGAATTTGTGCCCATTAAAGAACACATTTCTGTGTGGATTTGACTGAAAGACGCTGATTAAAGGCAGAACTTCACTTATTCTGTCGTTTCTTAAGTGTGTTCTAACCAGTTCCCTATGAGGATGATGGAGAGTACCTCTTATAGGTCTTTTTTTTCTTTTCTTTCCCTCTCTTGTCTCTGTCTGCTTGCTGGCTTTTTTAAATACTAAATGACCATTATTGTTTCTGTGCGTTTTTACAGTATTAATGTGAAAAATAATAGCAATGATAATGATAATTATAATTATAATGGGAATAGTAATAAATAGCATAATAATGTAGTGCAAATTTCTGCTCAACAGCAAGTGCTACCCGCTTTACTAAAGCGATAACTATAACTTTATTTTCTGTTTTTCTCTCCAGGTGCTGTGTTCGTGTGCTTCCCTGTTCTTTTTTGACATGCAGCTCTCCCACTCCTTCGCATTCCTGTGAGTGTTGCGATTATTTGTGACTGTTGATGTTTATGAAGTTTTCGTGTTTTGCTGTTGAGTTGCTGCAGAGTGGATCTTGTTTCAGACCTCACCTCCTACTTTCTGCCTTTCTGCCCGTGTGATACCTTTAACCCTACTCCCTTCTTTTCTCTTGGTATTTAAGAAAAATGTTTAAAAACTAGTTTTAGTAACAGTTTTACGTCACAAGGAACACAATAAGGTCATATAAAGTACCTAACATTAGAGGTGTTAGGATAGAGTGACAAACGCAAAAAAGAAAAAGGAGAGATAAAGACGATGGGTGTTTGAGAGGAAAGAAGTAAAGAAGGAGCAAATCACACTAAAGCAGTTTGTACCTCTAGTTCTTCTTATGTCATACTATATAAGACGTATATACAGTACAGCATGGATAGGTCGAACACAGAAGACTAGAAATCATGCATCAGTTGAACTGTACCTGCAGTCCCTTTTTTTTCTTCTCTTCATTATCTTTGTAAGATATCCCTTGAACTACACATCCCTCAAACTACCAAGGCCGGTCCTGACGAATTTGAGCAATATGTGTTATACTGTACATCGTACTGAAGCTACAATTATTATACAGGGTTTCTAATAAAAAGAGGATTCATTTAAAGGATATTAACTCAGTCATCTCTACACTAATTTCAACAAAAATTCGAACAAATAAAATTCAACCATGAGGACGTGAAGTTTGCAAATTTAATCAAATCAATCTACGTTTTCGAGAAATATCAATCAAGTTTTAACGATTTCAGCCAAAAATGGGTAAAACTGTTGATTTTTGTCTGTCTTGTCTTGCTTTTTCCTTGCCCGTATGACCATCATTATATCAATGTCCTTCTGTTTTTACTGTAACTAAACTAAAAAATAGCCGCTATTTTGCCAATTGGCAGAAAACTACTACTGCACTTTCTATGCTGTTCCTCAGACTTGCTACATGTGGTCACTGTGCGTCTTTTTTTTTCCCCACAACAGTCTCGCCATCAACTTCCTGTGCAGTTTCGGATTCTGTGAGAGCTCGAGCCAGCGACGTAGCCCAGAGGGTGGAGCCCTTTCGCTTGGGCAGGTAAGACAAGTCATGGAAAATAGGTTTTTAAAGTTTTTTGCAGTTTTAATAAGAGTTTTTCAGCACTTGCAATACCTATGAATACCAAATATTTGAGATGTTAGTAGAGAGTAACGTATGAGATAAAAAGGATCAGAGATAAGGATGACAAATTTTTTATAGGAGAGGAGTGAATCACACAAGAGCACCCACCCACCACCTAAGTGGGAGATATCACGGTCGCTGATCAATGCACGCTTTTAATGGGATGTATGCCTATTCTGCAGTAATATGTATACACACATATCATCGTGTTGAGATGTGCTCACAGTGTTACATATAAACGTCCACCCACATACAGTGAGTGGGTGGTTGGCGGGTGCTCTGGTGTGGTTTGCTTCTTCTTTCCTATCAAACATATATCGTCCTATTCTCCCCTTTTTATTTTTTATGTTTGTTACTCTCTTGTAACACCTCTAATCTTTTGGCAATCATATGACCTTATGCAGTTGCGAGCGCCGTAAAACCTCTACTAAAACTAAACTAAAACATACAGTGAAGCCCCCTCAAATTGAGCTCTTTGGGACCTCCAGGTTTTCTTTGGTTTAGTTGGGTTTTTAGATGAGAGAGATTGCTGAAGTAGAAAAAAAAAAAGGATTCTATTTGCTTTAGGTTTATCATTGTTTCCAGATTTACTGTGTTTGGTTTAAGCGGATTCTGCTGTCTATCAGAACAGATGAAGATAGCAAAAGAAAAATTGTCAAAGTCACTCTTCAAATCTTAAAGTGCAATTTTCTTTAATGGTTTGTTTTTTCTACCTTCTTTTGAAAAGGGTCTCCAACTTGAAACTGAATCTGTTGTTCAGTTTGACAGGTTTTTTTTTTTAGAGTTGTTTTTTTTTACTGGTTTAACACCCCTTTCAACACTGAAAATAAGGTTATTTAAATATATGGGATGGGACCTCTAAATTTAACATCTGTCTCCCTTAGGACTATGCCAAATGGATGTAGACCCAAACTCCCCAAATAACCTATGATCAAGAACACCTGGTTAGGGATTCAAAACCAGGGCTATCTGCTCCATAGTTCAGCATGATACCAATTGAGCTAAAGGAAGTCCTTTTGTGAGTGACCATTGAAACCTAGTGCACATGTTGAAGGCAATATTTGAGTAGTCTTTATTTTGTGTCTTTCATTCAATAGTACACAACACTGCTAATGAATAGATGTGCTCACATGCAAGTTCATGCTCTCACACATAAATGCACACACTGTCGGATGCCTGTGTACGCTGTCTTAAATGTGTTAAAGAGGAAACACCAGTAGTATAGCGAAACTTGGAAATAACAAAGTCGTCAGACATTTAATTTTGTGGAATCTGCGTGTTCATTATATGCTATTTGAGCAACAAGTTACGCTGCAGTGTAGAGCTTAGCATACATCAATGTTTTGTTCCACAGACCGGAACTCTATTCATAGCCTAGATCTATGTCGAGGCTAACCTATTACTGTTCAGTAGCCAGGGGAAAAATATGACTGTGACGCTTCTATATCTCAACGAACATTCTATGTCAGGAACACAGGTGCGCCCCCCACCCAACAGTGCCACACTTTGGGTGGTTGGTGGTGTTCTAATGTAGTTTTCTCCTTCTTTTCCTTCAAACACCTATCATCCTTATATCTCTCATGCTTCTTTTCATAGCATATTACTCTCAATTAATATTTCTAGTGTACAGTATGTGTGTATCCTACTTATTTTGACCTTTTGCCACTAAACATTTGCAATGAAAGTTTATATAATAAAGTCAGAACTCAAGTTTTCTTGAATTCTTTCTTTCTGTAGGGTCTTCTGCCGCAGTCCTCTGACCGGGACAGTAAGCCTTCAAATGACGACATTGATGAGCCACAACTGCTCAAAAGACACGAACTGCAGCAGGATATGATTCGTCTGGAGCTTGGATGATTCAGGGGGTGATTTTTGTTGCGTTAAATAGAGGTTTGTGACAATTCTCAGATCAGAAAGTTTTTATGATTCATCGGGTGATTTTTTTATGTTTTTGAGTGGAGATTTTGGATGATATATTTGTGTCACGATGTGGTGGAATCAGGCACTGGTCAATTTTTGGGCATGTGGTTTTTACTGTCATCTTAAAACTTGTTCATTCGTCTATCTTTCGATTTAAAAAGTATCCATCTGTCTTTAACAGAAGTCAAAATATTTGCAAATGAAATATGTTATTAATGAACACAAAAGATGTTGAGCCAAAAAAACAAAAATTTTATAGAAATTCCCAACCAGTGGACAAATGCGGCAATATCTTTGATTTCATTAGTTTGATGAGCACCTGATTTCACCACGATGCCTCACGTTTGGTCCTTTTGGAGATTTAGAATGACTCTCTCAAAGATTTTGTACTATTAGATGATCCATGTTTGGGTTTTGGATGATACACATGGAGGTTTTAAATGACCTGTGAGGACATATCCGATGACAGGTGTCAAACTCACGGCCTGCCATCAGGCCTATCAAACAATTCTGTCCATCCTACAGGAAAATTTCAAGTAAGCCATTCTGTGGACCTCCATAACACAAAACTTTTTTCCAAACATAAACAAATTTATGGCATAGAAAGGATGCCTAATACCGATCTTCTACAAGTTGTTAGGAGAGTGAAAATTGAAATGCCTTGATTTGGTCGTTTTTCTATCTTTTGTCAATATTCATTCATGTGCTCACATTCTGTTTAAAAGAGGTTTAGTCGTCCACTGTGTAATAAGTGTTTATTCAGTTTGTCTCACCACCTTAAATGTAATTTGAGCAATTGAGTTTGGTACCTCTGTTTTCGATGGTCCACATGGAGATGTTGAAAGATCTATGAGGACAATATAGATGATCTGCCTGGAGAATTTGGATAACTACATGGAGATTAAGGGTGATCTGAGAGGACATGTTAGACGATCCATATTGAGATTCTGTATGATTTGTGAGGACAATTCAGATGATCCACATTGAGATTTTGAATGTGTAATGACAGTTTAGATGATCCACATTGAGATTTTTGATGACTGTATGTAGATTTTTGATGATCTGTATAAATATTGACCAAGTTTTTGTCCTTGTAGCAATGCGCCATTGACCATCAACAATTTTCACACTCCCGGCTCAAGTAGTGTTAGTAGTTAGTGTTGCATGGCCCCATTAGGTGGTCATTTTTCTGGTACTTTGTGCAGATCTAAGCGGTGGTCCTGTATCTCTGTGGACACAGTGGGTTGTGTTTATGTTATTTCTTTTCTTGGGTAAGTTGGGTTTTTTTCTGTTCAAAAAGCTCCATTAGCTTTCTTAAGATGGATAAAAAATGAATCACATAATTGTGTGACGACGCGGTGGAATCAGGCACTGGTCTATTTTTTAGCATTCGGAGTTGTTGATATCATCTTAAAACTTTTTCACTTGTCTTGCTTTGGATTTTTTTAAGATACCCATCTATCTTCCATGGAAGTCGAGATATTTGCGATTGAAGGGGGTGGGGGCCATCATGTGTCAAGGGTAAATTATGTGTGGAAATGACTGTCAAATTTTGGTTGCTTCCAAAGCTGGAGGTCTTTAGAAACTGCAAATTACCTTTTTTTTGTGCCTTTTTTCAACATTTTTCCTTAAAATCCACTCAGAAATTTGTTTTAAATGGACATAAAAGATTTTGAGCCGAAAAACAAAATTTCGATAAAACTTGCCAAAGGGGTGAAAAGGTGCCAGTTTTTTCTATTTCATTGTCTTGATGAGCGCCTGATTTCACCACAATGCCTCTCAATTTGTTTGTGGGTACAAATGTACTACAAGTCTTGTGCAAAGAAAACGTGGAGATGAAAAATTTCACTATTGTGGTTTTTTATTTTTGTCTGCGAATGAGTTCTTGAAACACTTCCCCTGTGATGATAGTGAGGGGTTTTCTGTCTTTTCAACTTTCCACAAGTCATGAAGACTGCTGAATTTTTTGTTCATAAGCTTACCTCATGCAATTAATACTTACAGTGACTGTTTTCATAGTGTGTATGTTTGTAGTCGTGATTCACTATTCTACATCCAGTTCTTTGCAAGCATTTTTCCGACATAAATTTGGAGCCATGTTTTTGTCTTTGATTCCTTTTATCTTTTTAATGTAGATGTTTACATTTGTATTTTGTGTTTACCTCTTTTTTCTTTCTCTTTTATTCAAGTTTTCTCAAAACTTTACTGAAGTGGTATTTTTCATTTGAACTACGGTGTATATTTACGTCTATCCTGAGGTTTTTTTCATTTTAAAAAAATTCAGTTTTTTCTGTATGTGTTATTCTACAAATATTCTGGAATTGAATAAACATATGATGTTTGTGAATTGTTTAAGGGCACCACAGGTAAACCTTTTTTTCTTGTACCCTGTTTATCATGGTGGATATGACTCACTGACAACACGCGCATCTCGGGTGTTCATCTTTCTTGCTTATTCCCTGTTATCAAAACGATGCATCCGTACGTCATGTTTTACTATCGTATCCATATGCCGTGGGGAACTCTATGCCACCAGTTTCCAAAGAGGAAATTTACTCGTTTATCCGATCGGTATGCTTTGCGTAGCGGTCTGTCAAAATGAATTTTTAAGAAATACTGAAAGTTTCAAAGAGATCTTCGTACTGGAAGTATTCTAAAATGTGAAGAATACTACCCTGGGGGTACAAAATGACCCCAGGGCATACGGATAGGGTTAATTAAACTAAACTCAACATATTGACTGCTGTGTTTAAGACTCAGCCATTTGCCATTTTGAAAAGTGACGTATGACGGTGCCTTCCACTGAGCAGTGGCTATGTTGTTGTTTTTTACCTTGCTCTGTTTATGATGAATGAAAAAGTAAATTCTTCCGTTTACCCTGCTCCTTTCTTTTATGTGTTACATGTATTAGTATTGTCCTAAACTGCTTCCTTGTGAAATGTAGATCATCATTGTTAAGCTGACTTGGCATAAAGGACGCTAAGATGCACGTGTTGTCTGTAAGTCACATCCACTATGATGCCTCATCTCTTAGTAATAATAATAATAATAGATAGCATTTGTATAGCGCAAATCCCTGCTCAACAGCAGGCTCTATGGGCTTGTCTCTTCATTGTTCTATTTGATATATGTTTAGTATCTTCTACATATTTAATAGGATTAAAAATGCATAAATCGTTGGCAAGCTATTCAACTGTTCTAAACCCAGAAAGCAAAATATTTGAAGAAAGAAGAAACTTGTTTCTTTCCTCCATTATAAATTGTACCTTACATGTGTTGTTTTTTCCCAACGTTTAGAATTTGAATTTCAGTAAAATATTAAAGCACATGCAACCAATACCACAGATTAAGAAACCCTAATATGCAGGTGGTTGGAGGGCACCACTGGTAGGTCCTACCTCTTTATTTTCTCTCTTTTGTTTCTGTCTGTCTTACTGTTTCCCAACATTAAATGCCCATTATTATGTCAGTGTGCTTCTCTTTACTCAAAATAAATAAACTATAAATTATAATAAAATTCTGGGCCTAGAATATCTGAACAGCTGACCAACGATATCTTTGTTCAGTTTCATCTTTTTGCAATGGTCTTTTCAGCGTTGTCGGTATCATGTTCACCTACCATGTTCACCTACGCATTGCGGTGTTCTGTAACTTGAGTTGTTTATGGAGTTTTTCCAAGGGCTCTCAGCCAACTTGTCCTTGTCCTAACGGAAGTGAATGTTAAATTAGGAGGTCAAAGGTCAGGCCTCCTAAATTGCCGGTGTTTTACAGAGGCTTTACAGCCATATTATACTAAACTAAATACTACTACGTAACTATTGTGTATCATCTTTTTGTGATCTCCACAGTGAGTGGGTTGAAATGTACATGACATTGGGTTGATATTTTTGGGGTGTTTTTCTTTTGTTTTTTTGTTTTTTGAGGGGGCGGAGTTTGTTTTGTTGATTGTTGGGTTGTTGTTGTTTTTTTGTTGATTTTTTTTTGGGGGGGTCATCTTTACTGCAAAAAAATTTTAATCATGTGTGTATGATACATTTCTTTTTTCTTCTCTTTCCACACATTACTTATTTTTTCATTTCCACAGCCAGTGGACAAACACTTTCATGTAACTTTATTCTTTTTTTTTTTTTTCTTTCTGTTCCGCAGCCAGTGGAAGACCATAACACATTATTCGTTTTTCTTTTTTCTATCATTTCCACAAACAGTTAAACAAACACACACATAAATTGTTCAATTTTGTCTTTCTCTTTTTTCCACTGCCATTTAAGTTACGCAGCCTTATCCATTTTTGTATGGGTTTTTGTTTTTTTTTGCTTAAATGATGTTAACTTAATGATCATAGACCATAACATTGTTTATGATTTTGTTCAGTAAAGTACTTTTTTTTTTCATTTAATATCTTGAATTTTATCAAACCTGTTGCGGCTGAAAACAAACTTGTTTCTTTGTACACTTTCGAGCTTGATTCTGTAATTCCAATGAATTAAGACTCTGTGTCTCTCAGGGGACTGTATTCACGATATTCATGGTTTTGATCATTTGAATCAGTTGGACCTATACGATTCGAGTCAGATTCGTTTTGTAGCAGAGGAATTTCCAGGAGAAAAATATTTGTTAAAGACTTTGCAGAGCAAAGATATTTCCTCTCTAGTTTCTTGTACTTTTCTTCTGAATTTTTAAAAAGCTCTAATCTTCTGGCGCTCATATGACCTTATGCAGTTGCGAGCACCGTAAAACCTCTACTAAAACTAAAACTTCCAAACGCAACAAAGCTTTCCTATTGTTGTTTCTCTTGACTGTCTTCTTTTTTTTTTTTCCCAGCTCTAAATGACCATTAGTCTGCCATATGCTGACCAAACGTTTTTTACTAACAGTAGTTTTGAGAAAAAAAAGGCATTTTGTCAGCATAACCATGAAAGAAAAGGCATTTTTCCAAACTTTGCATTAAAATTTATTCAAAAACTAGTCGCAGTTTCACTTTGTTTGATTTTTTCATGCAAGCAGGGTAACTGATCAGGCTATCCATTCAGCAAATAAAAAAATGTTGGCGCCAAAAATGAAAAAAAGGCGTTTTGTCAGCTTTGAGCAGTATTGTGTCAGCGTGCTTCTCTTTTAGTAGGTATTTCTTCCCTAGCTCTTATTGTATATGGTGTAACATGTGACATGGCATGACACACAGCATAAGGTGTGGCATGTTACAGCATTGTCAAAATACATGTGTAATAATTGTTGCTGTTGTGCAATTCTGTAA